TCTCCTTTGTCGAGATACCTGAATTCCCGTGACAGTTTCTAGAAGTGAGTCTCAATCACTTCTCGTCACAATACCTGAAACACTAACCTGAATTCCCGTGACAGTTTCTAGAAGTGAGTCTCAATCACTTCTCGTCACAATACCTGAAACACTAACCTATAAGGTTTGTTCAGGTCACAATATAAAATAAGGAAAAGGGTCGACGCGATGAGTTCAGTAAGATTCTTTTCCTTTCCGTAAGAAGACGGATCAATTTCACCTGAATTCCCGTGACAGTTTCTAGAAGTGAGTCTCAATCACTTCTCGTCACAATACCTGAAACACTAACCTATATAGAACAAAAGATAGAAATAGACAAGTACAAAAAGGACACTACTTGTTAGATGAAGAGAATAGAAAGAATAGACCAGTTGACTATGTATCTGACCTATAAGGTTTGTTCAGGTCACAATATAAAATAAGGAAAAGGGTCGACGCGATGAGTTCAGTAAGATCTAGCGTCGACAATGATTCAGATGAAAAAGAAAAAGATAACATCACAGTATGATAATTAGTAACAGTCATATTGAAGATCAAACTAATGGAGAGTAGAGACTATTGATGATAATGTAGTGAAGGGGTTGAACTTACTCTTTTCCTTTCCGTAAGAAGACGGATAAAGGAAAAGAGTATTAGCGCGAAAAGGGGGAGGCGCAATTTAAATAGGGATCATTTAAGTTTGAGTCTGACATCTTAAGTTTGAATAAAACTACTGTATTTTAGTATGTAAAGTGATTTGATACTTAGAGTCTTATTCACCTTTCACCACGGCTGAAACCTAGGTACGAGAGACTGAGGTGTCTCTCAACAGCAAAGTCATGTATGGTGAGTTTTTATACATGAACCGTTCATTTCACATTATATATTCATTATTACTTCAATTTTCAAGCACAAAAAGGATCCGCTTTTTTTGAAGTGCCATTCATTAACCCATGGCGAATAAAAGCAAAAGGTCGAGTCATTCGAAATGTTCCTCTAGTCTTGTACTGTGACGACCTTTCGGGTAATGTGTCGAAGAGGTGGAATAAGCACATTGCCTTCTATTTCACCTTAGCTGGTTTGCCTCCGAAATTGGCAAATCAAGAATTCAACTGTCATTTCTTATTGACTTCAAATACCGCAGGTGCCTTAGAACTGGCTGATCCCTTGATAGACGAATTGAAGTAAGATCACTGCTTTTGTTTATGATGATGCTTTTGTTTATGATGATGATGATTGTCATGATTAACTCTGACAAGTTCTTTCAGCAAATTGATTACAGAAGGGTTTGTGGCATATGACCACAAAGCCAAATCAGAAGTCTTTGTGATGACTACCGTCCTCTGCCATCTAGGAGACTCTTCTATGCATGCAGAGGTAACTAACACGATGAATCCAACAACCTCCCTGACGCCTTGTAGGATTTGTCACTTGAATGTGAAATCTTTGGCAGAAAAGCGGTCAAAAAAGTATGTATGTGACTTTGGTGGCATAGACAAAGCTGGAGAACAGGTGAGATATAAAGAGAAAACAACATCACCGTTAAGGATGTGCTTAATTTTGTGATTTTTATCTTTTCTTTAGAGTTGTGTACCCACACGTGATTGGGCAGCCACGGCGAAGGGGACCAAAGATCTCTGGAAAAAGGCCCAGCTTCCAGGACCGATCTCTCACTTTGAAACAGAATCAGCATCCCTCGGCCTACGAGACGCATTAAACACAACTTTTGTCAAACGTGCTCAAGACCTACACAAGAATCAAAATGTGTCTAAAGATTATATAGCTGACATGTGTCGTGAACTGAATGAGAAGTTTGGAGAACGTTTATTTAACCCGTTCCTGCGTTTAAAAGGTGTACTTTTGGCTTCCTGTAATTCTTTGATTGCTTTTGCCAGCTAAAAACTTCTTCTTTTCAGGCTTCAACGGACATCAAGATACGCCGGTTGAAATTTTGCATGTGGCTTTGTTAGGGATTTCAAAATACTTATTGCGGCATCAAATGAAAAGCTGCAGCCCCGCCGAAAAGGACAAACTATGGGGCCGCTGGAGGTCGTTTGACGCATCAGGTCTAAATATTCCCCCGATCCAGCCAAAAAGTATGATTCAGCATTTTCAAAGTCTGAATGGAAAAGAATTCCGTGTGGTTCTGCAGGCGGCTCCTTTTATTTTTTTGGAAACTAAAATGACTGATGAGGAACGTCAAGCGTGGACCGCATTGGCTCACTTAGCACCATATCTCTTCCAGACTGAGATCTCCGACATTGATCTCTACCTCAACGAACTCGAGAATCTTATCCAGATTTTCTTGAAGAAAATTGTGAAACTTTTGGCACAATGGTGCAATAAGCCAAAGTTTCACATGTTGATACATTTATGTGACTCAATTCGCAGGTTTGGACCGGCCTGTCTTTTTGCAACCGAAAATTTTGAATCTTATAACGGAAACACTCAAAGTGCATCAGTTCATTCAAATCATTTAAGTCCAGGACGAGATATTGCAAACTCCTTCAACAGTTACAAACTGATTAGAGCGCTAACTTGCGGAGCAACATTATATGATCACAAATTGAAAACATACATCCGCTCAGGCTCAAAAGTCCAAGAAGTCTTTCGAAATAATAAACTCTTTCAAAAAGCCTTAGGTTTCAATTCTTCATGGAATGCGGAGAATCAAATTCGGATTGGAAGTAAGCACAGTAACATTTTTTGCTCATCAAATCATCCAAGACTAAACAGCTACATTACTATTTGATTTGTCAACTATAGAAAAAGAAAAATCACAACCATCACAAACCAGAGATCTGATTCCTAATGAGATCTTCAATACATTTTCTGCTGAGGACTGGAAAGTCCTTGAATCTGTCATGTTAAAGAACCAACAGAAAGTGACTTCGACTTGTTTTGTTTCTTTCAAAAACATCAATTCTAGCATAGGCAGGATAGCTCGTGTTAAAAGAATCTGGGGTGTAGGCAGCTGCGGGATTCAACAGGCAATGATTGAAGCAAGCTATTGTGAAAAGGGGCAGGTCAGCGTGTTCTATGGAATGCGTGAAATAAAGCAAACTGATGAAACTGTGTGGATTACAATTGAGGTGAGTTATCACCCATACATTCAGTGTGACGAACTTAACCCTTGTATTGGAAAAAAAAACGCAGGACATTGAAGGTGTTCTGAACGTTCAACACAATTGCCATCAAAGCAAATGTGATGTTCAGAAGGTAAGGCCGACCATGATAGAACACCAAGTGTCGAACAAACTGGAGTATGCAGTGGTTCATGAAACCACCATGGAATTCATCTTAAATTCGGGGGCCTTCTATTCAGCTGAGCTCCATCGTACCTCTGCTCAAATGATATTCAAACAAAGCGATTCAAATGATTGGGTCATGGCTGTGGAGAAAGGACTTTCGAACTGGGAAGAAGCGGTAAAAAAGAAAGATGAAACCAAGGAGAAGAAACGGCAAAAGGAAAAGGACAAATTGTTAGATAGCGAAACAGGTCAACTTCCGGCCAAGAAGAAAAGGAAAACAAAGGACAATTGCCATTCACAGCTTTCTGGGCCATCTAATTCTGAACTGGTTGATAGGTATTTGTCTCATGGTCAACCGATTGCTGGTCCTTCCAATGCATCGGTTAAATAGATCTTTCTAATCATTTACACTGAATCATCTTAACATGTGATCTTTCTTCATTTCGTTCTCTTCTCTCTATTTCATTATACTTTTACAATGTTAACTCAGTGCTTTTTGTACAATGTTGAATCCATCTTTGATCGCCTTATCTTTTTTATCATTCTCTTCTCTGTGTTTAATTATAACTTTTACATAGCATTCTCTATGCTTTTGATTGCTACAAAGCTCTCTTACAGTTTTGGAGAGCTTTCAGTCAAAAGCGATAGCACTCTCTATGCTTTTGATCGCTACAAAGCTCTCTTACAGTTTTGGAGAGCTTTCAGTCAAAAGCGATAGCATTCTCTATGCTTTTGATCGCTACAAAGAGACCTTACAGTTTGGGAGAGCTTTCAGTCAAAAGCAATAGCATTCTCTAAGCTTTTGATTGCTACAAAGCCCTTTGAACTTGGGCTGATTTGATTTTTCTATAAAAACTGGTCTGATGAAGTTGTTTTCGCCATCAACCAATCTCCATCAGCATGATCTCTTTTTTTATTGCCTCTTAACTCGAGTCATTCATTTTGTTCGAAGGCAGTGAGCCAACAGTAATAAAATGAATGATGGAGATTGGTTGATGGCGTCTTAACTCAAGTCATTCATTTTGTTCGAAGGCAGTGAGCCAACAGTAATAAAATGAATGATGGAGATTGGTTGATGGCGTCTTAACTCGAGTCATTCATTTTGTTCGAAGGCAGTGAGCCAACAGTAATAAAATGAATGATCTCTTTTTTTATTGCATCTTATCTCGAGTCATCCTTGATGTTCACTCACAAAGGATATGTTTGCACTTTCATAAGGATATCTTTGAACTTTCGTTGATAGCTTTAACTCTCGATTTATTGATAAAACATCTTATCTTGAGTCATTCTTTTTTTTCAAAGGAAGTCAATGAATTGAATGATGTATCTATTTTTTCAAAGTTTCAAAGGATATCTTTGAACTTTTGAATGATATCTTTAAACCTCTCAAAGCGTATCATTTCTTTGAGAGGATATCATTGAAAAGGATGATATCTTATGATGACAGAGAGCCTCGATTGCAGTGTGTCTTATAAGAGGTCCCTTCTTCCCTTATCTTCCTCACAAATTCGCATTTTTGGATTGATCTCCACTGAGGTGTGATCTTTGAAGTGTGACCAATCAAACACTCGCGGGGCCGGGCCAAATTGACGTGATCCACCCTTCAAATTAACTCTTTGCACTGTTCTCTTCATGTTGTTTATTTTTTCATTACCTCGCATCTTCCCTCTCACTCAAAACTCAACATCTTTGCAAAACCCAACATCTTTGCCTTTGCCTTCACCTTCACCAATGCCCTCTCATAGTCAACGATATCGACCGTACAACCGCAACCGGGCTGCAACTTCACAAGCCAGTCCTCAAGATCAGCGCTCCTCGCCTCACAAGTCTCCTGGTTCTCGTGCATCAACTCGTACGAGGAGTCATTGGAACCGCCAGTCAACCGAAGACCTTGACAATCACAACTCTCAAAATCTACCTCAGACGGATTCTCGCAAAGATACCTTTGATCAAGATGATTTGGATCTATTCAACGGTGGATCTGGCGATGACACTTACGATGGCTCCAACAACCGTTCTTATAAGCCCAATGGCCATGATGGTGATGGTGATGGTAGTGGAGACCGAAGTGATGGTGAAGGTGATGGTAGTCAAGATCGAAGTGATGATAATCGTGATGGTAGTGAAGATCGAAGTGATGATAAACATGATGGTAGTGAAGATCGAAGTGATGATAATCGTAAGTTTCTAGAAAATCATTGCCAACTGTTGAACACGCTGATAACTTCATATTACCCGTTTTGACCACAGAGACCATCACATCCAGAACTCGTTCGCAAATGCAGTTGAACAGCACCAGCCGAGAAACTGCTGTACCTTATCATATGACGGGTGCGCAATCACAATCCTTTGATTGTGTTGCTACATGGGCGGATCTACATGAAGATGGTCGCATTCTTGGACAAAAACTTTGTAACGTGAGTAAGATGAGGTGACTGACCCCACAGAAACGGCCATACTGATTCTCTGTATGGCAGGTTACTGGGAGTGAGGAACAATTCCATGCGTGCATGGTTGCTACTCTATCCATGCGCCAAGAGATGGTAATATTATCAAACCAGCTTGAAGAGATCAAGAGACAAGTAAGCAGAATTCCCCGTGGTGGATGTGATTGGAAAGACCAAGACCATAGCGAGCTAAAAGTACGCCGTCTTCTCTCATTCATTTCAAATCGTTTAATATAACAAACACTGAATCCACTCTCTTCATCTATCACAGGCATTCGTGCGTTCTATAGCAAAAAAGAGGATAATGGACGGTGATGTTCAGGCATACACCGCCAAGGAAAACAAAGTCATCAATGAGGACCCTTTACCCTTTTGTTTGTATGGAAAAGTCATGGTAAGTTTTCATTTGTCTGCCAATCTGTTAATCCCCAAGAACTATGACGTTGATGAGAATACAGTCTGACATCCTAGGGAAACCAACGGACTGGAAGAAGGAATATCTTCCACCCCGATATGGTAAAGATCCAGACAATAAATCCAGCCGTGCATTCAATTCTTTGGTAAATACTGCTTTAAAGGAGATCCGAAAGGAATTCGAAACAATTGTAAGCAGTTACGTTTTGTCAGATTCAAATTCATCTGTCTGATCAACCATCTCCAGCTCCTTCAAAACATCAAGCTTCCAGACCGCAAAGCACCACGTGTTGATGCAGCAGTACCGGTTCTTGACTCGGTTATTGTCAAAGTAAGTCTCTTGTTATCAAATGTTTGTCTTTTTATTCAGTCCAAAATTCTTTTACATATACACAGCTGTACCAAAAAGAACATGGAGTCAGTGGTCAAGTCCTTGTCCCAAAAGAGGTACTGGACAAAGTGGGCTACCTGCGATCATCTCGATATGCATGGTTGGTACGTAGTGTTCTATCATTGTTTCACGTGTTTTATCTCTAACTGCTTTTGTTCTGCCTCTCAGAGGATGCAGGCCATCCACTGGGGGATAAACCGTAATGACAACAAATTCAAATATGGTCAGTGATCCTTGTGGGATGTTGTTGATGATCAACTGGAGCACTTACGTAGTAAATCTGCACGATACCGTCACGCGTAAGTTATCTTATTTCATTGAAAGACTATGAACTCCAAACTGCTCACAAAGGCAAGTTTTGCAGTTTTTTCACCTTATGTGACCAATATGACATCGATCGCATTGATGGTACCAAGAATTTTGCCCAACTACAGGATTCTACCAAATTCTCGTTGCCCACTGAGAAACGCATACAGGAAGAAATCGAATACTTGAATAAGACCCATGGAACGGAACAGTCACCAGAGGAAGCGATGCATGTACACGAAGAATAGGTTTTATGTATTGATTTATGGCATATAGATTTGCCTTTGTTTTCATCTCTCATTTTCTCTCATTTTCTCTCTGATAAATGTTCCATTTATGTAAATATATAGTTTTTTCTCATCTTTGTTATCCTTGGTCTTTGAGTTGTTTTTTTCCGTTTCTATCTCTAATTTTCTCTCTTATTCATTTCTGTAACATAGTTTTTTCAAACTTAGTTTTGAGTCGTTAGTTTCCATCATTTTTGTCTTGATTATCTATCTCAATGATGTTTCATTGTTGTATTTTTGATCTTTTCAGTCCGGTATTTGAGTCGTTTTGAATGTAGCAATCAATTGGTTTCTTTTGTGCTTTTATGACCAAGTGAGTATGAGTTGAGACATTCAATAGAGTGAATAAAATGAGCCTATTATCTCCTTCCCAGTAAGCATGGTTGGAGTATTCAACCAGTTTGTAATTAGTGGTAACCCGTGTGGTTACCAGTGTCAAAAAACCCGTTGACAACACCGTAAGACGGCCACGTGTTATCAACGTTGGTCACCACCAATAAGATACCCGGTCCTCAACCGGGGGTCACCACCCGATGAAAGCCGGTTACACAGGGCTCGTGGTGTAAGACTCAAACTAATCCGAGTTACGAGCCAAAAGTTGTAGTACCCACTAAACCAAACAAAACAGTCAAAACTCCTGCTTACTGATTAAGTGATCGATTTGATTCGATTTCTAAGGCCCCGTTTGGTATGGCTTACAAATACCGGAAGAAATGTATTATTTTTTGAAAATGATCTATTTTACACTTTTTCAAAAAAACTCGTTTGTTATCGCTTTTGCCCTCCTTTGCCCCTCCTTTTGAAAGCCATTTTTCAGTTCATAATCTATTATTTTGGATCATTTTGAAAGCTGCTCCAGACCAGCTTTCAAGTCTCAATAATCCATTATCAACCCGGGAAAGCCTCAAAACTCGGGGCTCTGTCGCATCAAGATTCAAGACGACTTCCGATCAAAATCTTGACAACTGCAAACGATTCTTTTTCCATCACGCAAGAAACTTCAAATGTTCATGTTAATTATCAACTTTAGTCTGATTTGTATATCTTCAATTGTTGTAACGCGACTTCGATCTTTGCTAACGACTGTGATCCTTACAAGTTCAACTCTCATTTTGTAATGACTTGACCTTCACAATCATCAATTTGACTTTCGTCTTTCACTCAATTCCTGGTGATAGATAGAAACAACATCACCTGTTTCTTGGTGAACATATAGACTGAGGAGTTCAGACTTGGACCAAGTGATCATTTCACTACTGATTAACTCCATTAACCCATTATGTAGTATTCTATTGAGTCATCAATGGATCAATAGCCAAGTTGTGTTGATCTCTAAACGACTTGACCCATCAAAAATCAAGATGATAGTAGATTTTGATTGATATGTAGTCAAGTTTGATGAAATACCAAACGAGAACAAACAACATCAAGTGATTTTTGCTTTGAAAATTGAATTTCAGATCTGAAAATTGGCTTCATAAAATAATAGATTATGCAATGCATAATCTATTAATCTCTAATGTATTTATAAAAGCTAAAAGCTATACCAAACGGGGCCTAAGTATGTTGTAAAAACTAACAATTTGTTTACCTACAAAAGTATCAGTTGTTTATCTTACAGTCAAACCGGAAAAGCTTGCCACCAATTCACCGCCAATTTGCTCGAGTTTTGCGGGCAAAATCGGTCAAGCTTTTCCGGTTTGACTGTATCTCGCTCGTCGTTTTTGTAACCCGCTATGTTTGATTATCATATTATAGTATATCTTATGTTGCACAAAGAAATTGTCAATTGTATCTTGATTTATGACATAAAATTTATATGGTTTTCTGAAATCTTGTTGACTTTTTTGTAACGAGCACGCGCACACTCTTTTATTGATCTTGATTTTTTTTCTGCTTCTTGAACTTGAAAAGAATCATCATCATCAACCTAGAAAGTATTTGTCGAGATAATCGGACCGATTGAAAAGCCTTTTGACTTTGACTTGGATTTGAGCATTAACCAAAAGTGAAGATTTGTTCAACTGATCACGAGTTTCTCGTTACCAATTTATGAAGTTCACTATTTAAAGTATAAGTCGCGTTACTTTCTTGAACCTTTCAAACTCGTGGAACCTTTCGCAATATAATGATTCTCGAATCCGAAGATCCGATTATCCTTTGGAACGTCCCCATGTGACTCCTCGCATGTGAGAAAAAAAACACCCCCTAACGCGATCACACTTCGTGATCTTACGCAAAAAGAATTGACTTGGAGTACCTGGGAATCGAACCCAGCGCCTCTCGCAACCTTGGAAAGATGCTAAGCGAGCGCTCTACCGATGAGCTAGAACCCCGATGACGTCATTTACGTAAATAGCTGTTTCGATCGCTGAACGGATCATTGTTATAGGAGGTGGGTTGGAAGGTTGAGAATGAGAGTTGAAGAATTTGTTCAGAATGGAATTCGAATTCAGATGAGGTGTTGTGTAAGCTGAAAGAGAAGTTTTAAAAGTGTGTTTGAAGTGAAAGTTGTCCCGGTATGGTACCCGTAACCCGACAACGAACGATGTATGACATGAGTGGTGTGTGTCAAGGTCAACAAGAAACGAAGAAAGTAAACAAGAAAGAAAGTCAGGATGCCATTCAAATCAAATCATCAATCATCCAATTCACCATTCACTATCTCAAAACCAATCAATCAAACCATTGCCAACCCATTACCTTTATATTTTGATAATTTAGATTCATTAGACTTCTTTTTCAAAAACAATTCAATTCAACCTTCAAATCGAAATCATCAATCAAATCAAAATCAAACCAATCGATCAAACCATTCACGTATCTTAATAGCTCATGATTTCAAAGTAAATTCAATTCAAACCAACTCAATCATAGAATTCCATATATTTACCACCTGTTTTTAATCTTTTTTTGGGTGGGGGTTAGGGAGGTTATAATGATTCACCTTCAGATCAAAGGGCTTATACATTTGAATGGTTTTCATACATAGACACGTTCATCTAGTTGGTTTCTTTTTACTTTGATTGTTTTAAACCGAATCCATGTGTTTGAAGTTTTCTAATCATTCATGGTTTTTGGACTTAGTTTTTCTCATCATCGAATCACCATTCCTCCACCTGATTGGATCACAGCTGCAAAAACTCAGTTTAGTTGACCATTCTCCCAAAACTCTCTACAAAACTCATGCCAATTTTCTTTTTGGGGGATTTGTAGTCATACATCTATTCTTGGTACTTTAATCTTTGAACATCAAACATCATTATCAGATCTAGAACTACTTTTAACCGGTCCAAAGAACTCACCAATCCCAACACATAAATATTTTATAAACTTAAAACCTATTAAAGGTTATGAACCTTTGAATCAAATCTCAACTTATTATGCAGATAGATTGATTGATTTGGCTTTATATTTTGGATTTCATGGTTGGTTATTGAATTTTGAAATCGACCTGATCAAGTCTTTGGATACTCACTCAGCTAGGTTATCGGGTCAGATTGCTAAGGCTCTTAGGATTTGGGTGGAGTATTTGAGATTAGAGGGTATCAAAAGAGTCGGTTCAAGTTGGGAAGTTTCTTGGTTAGTTTGGAATTCCGATGGTCTTGATTGAATTGATCTTTACATTGATTTGATTTATGTGTGTGTGATTGGTTAGGTATGATTCATTGTCTCATGAGAATGGAAGTTGTCAATGGAGATCAAGTTTATATATCAAAGATAATTTGTTTTATTATGCTGCTGCTACTTCGATTTTTTTAGATTATCATTGGAATTTAAATTCGCCAAATCGGACCTTATCAATACTTTCAAAACTTCAAGAAACTATTAATTCGAAACCAACAAAGGAAGAAAAAAGTTTAACTATAAATCTTGGTGATGATCCTTTCAAATCTTTTAAAAATAAAGCAAAAACTCGACTTGAGAATCTAAAAACGAATGTTTATTTCGGGGTAGATGTGTTTGGTCGAGGTTGTATGTATGGAGGAGGATTTTCAAGTTGGAAAGCTATTGAATTAATTCAAAATCAATATGATTTTAGTATTGCACTCTTTGCACCAGGTTGGACATGGGAATCACATCATTTAGATCCGATTCGATTGAAATCAAAAGATTGGTGGAAATCTTGGTGGGAAGAAGAAAGGTTTCAATGGGTTGGAATTTCAGATCTGAAAGCTAAACAACTTGGGAATAGTTTTGTAGATGGTTGTAGGATTTCGAAAGAAGCTAAAGAAAAGGTTTTAACTAAGAGAGGTACTAGTGATAGTGAATTTCCTCAACATTTACCGATTTCTAGATTCTTTAATCCTTGGAAAAGGTTACCTAAGCTTGACCTTCCAGATTGGTTTTATACAAATTATTCTTTAGGAAGTGGAGGAAATGGGTTTTGGATTGAAGGATCGAATTCTTTGGGAAATCAAAACACTTGGACTGATATGTCATTTTGTTTTCCTAAGAATGATCTTTCTATTAATGAAGAAAGTAGAAGAGAGAATGGAAACCAACCATTTGTGAAACGGTTAGGAAGTTTAGTTTGGTGTGAGAATGTGGAAGATGTAGGTTGGTTTGGGAGTGGTTCGATTAAGATTGAAGATCAAGATGTTGAAGAAGATCAGTTTAAGGAATCGGTTGGGTTGGTTTGGATGAATACTTTACCGGTGATGATTAATGGGGGTGTCGAATGTCGAATGATATGGAAATCAAATGAAATTGAAAGTCAAGAAAATGGATCACTTGGGATTGTTTTGGATCTTGATTTGATGGAGAAGAATGATGAGAAATCAGATAAGAAGATCGGATTTGAATGTTATGAATGTTTGATTGAATTGATTGGTTTAGGAATCGATTTGGTGAAAGTGAAAGATATTAAAGTTGAAAAGTTAAAGAATGGATGGAATGAAACGAGTTGTAAAATAATTGGTAATCAATCAGATTTAATGTATATCAAAAGGTTTGGGATTATGGTTCAATCTGGGAAGAGATTTCAACATTATTTAGGTGAAGTAGCTGTTTGGCCGATTTCTAATTCCAGAAGAAAAGAAGAAGAAGAAATAATTGAAGTGGAATTTGATCAAGTTCATCAAGTCTTAAAATGGATTCATGAACCTAGATCTGATTTGATTGTTATTCAATATTTGGTTTATTTGGTTCACGAAAGTTTGAATGAAATTCACCATGAAATCTTTTTAGGTAGTATTAGGGATGGGTTTTTGAATGTCAACAGAAATGAAGATCAAGGAATGAAAAGATTATATGAATTTGAACTTGAGGATTATTTGAAACAGGTTATGATTGATCAACATCAACATCAACATCAGAAAAAGAAATGGGTAGTTTTGAAAAGAGTAGAGATTGATGGAAGTTTAAAGGTTATTAAGATGATTGAAATTTAAGGAGTAGATTGATGTATCTTTTATAACTCCTCAAGTGACTGACCTTGAACCGATTTAGAATGAAGATATTTGGGGATCTTCTTTGGTTAAAATTCAGTTTAGCTCATTTGGTTCTGTTGTAATATAATGATTATCACGAGGTTTGTAAAAAAACAAAAGCAAAAACATTTTCTTCAAAAATATTTGGTTCTTGAAATTCAACAACATAATGATTACCAAAAATGAATAATATTTTCATTTGGTAGGAATGCGTCTTGATTGATTTTGATGAATTGGTTTGCTTTCAAGGTGACTTTTGAAAACAAAGGTTTGGTAAACCTTTGATAGTTTATATTTTGATGTTTGAAGCCGTAAATCAAATTGTCATGTATATGGATTTTGAAGGCTTGATTATTATCATTCATTGATCCAAAGTGATGCAGTCGGTTGAAGGGATATGAAGAGTACAGCAATATGAAACAGTGGAATTGGTGAGCTGATAGACTGTGATCTGCCCTCTTTCAGCCAAAGAAGTTTTCAAGACGAACAAGATATACAAAACTGACCCAGTACTACTCACATCTCTCTGCTATATTGTTGTTTACTCAGTCTCTATTTACTCAATTGGCAGAAGAGCGGGTTGCACACGAGAAACTGACACACCACCTTCACTGAGGTACCATGTGTGCTACAGCAGAGAAGAGCAAGGAGATTGAAATAAATGAAGGATGATTTAACGTGCGTAAAATTATATGCTTTACATTTTCTATGTATTTTTAGTCTTTTTTTCGGATCGATCTTTATGTGTCTCTCCAATTGAAGTGCTGTCTAGTTTCTCTTGAAGACTTTGTTTTAATCTCTTTACTTTATTTTTCTTCTTAGTTTTAATGATCTTTTTTCTAATTCATCTTTATTCTTTGTTCATATCTTCTATTCTTATTAATTTTTGATACTCTTCTGACTTATTGCTTCATTATTCTATGTTTCAGTAAATGATAGATCATCTTTATCTTATAATTTATTTTGATCTGAAGGTGTGTTTGGTTTCAGTGAGTGTTTTAGAACTATTCATTTTAACATTGTATACCTTCACGCTGATATATATGATTACAAATTAGATTGACAGATAGAAGTAAAGGAGCTCAGAGTGAGGGTTTTTAAAGTACTAATTGATTCAAATATCGGCAACGACTCGATACGAATATTCAAAAAGTAAACTCCTGCTCATCATCGCAAAACAAAAACAACAAGAACACATTTCAAACGGGAGAATGGAATGGTCACCAAACAAGACATTGAGATAAGGAAATAGATTGAGGAACACGTCGCCTGCCAAGTCACAAGAGATTTGGGAAGAGTCCAAAGGATTAGATCACTCAAAATACATAATGAATTCGCGCTCAGAAAAGATGAATCGATGGGAAATGAAGGCAGAGATAACATACCAAGATGAAATCAAGTCGAGTTCTTCAAACTTCACATGTTAAAAAAGGTCGAGGACCAGGAAGACCGCAGTTCGAGGGACCTTCACCTAGAAGCAAATGTAAAATCAGGAAGAGTTTGTTAGACTGGTTTATAAAATCATGAGAAAGAAGAACTGTAGGAAAGATAACATACCTAGATCAATTTCAACAAATTCGGCTGGAAGGGGGATTGGAGCATCGAGAGGTTTCGGAAGAGGAGCTACTGGACCGAGTTCGATATCTTTCTCAGTCGTGGCGAGAGTAAAGAATATGAGAATAGAAATAAGCCCAAGGAAGAATGATGTACAACTTTTTAGCGATGAGTTTAAGGATGAACGACTCTGGAACTTTGAAACGAGAGATCTTGTGAGTGGCACAAATCAAAAAGATAACAAAGAAGAAGTTCAACGGGAAGTAAACAAAGAGAGTTTTTTGAAAACGAGGACCGAAGATCTTTTTAAAAGTTAACTTGGGGAGATTCATGATGACAAGGAAGTTGAAGAGGAGTGGGAAGGATTCAAGAGGTAGTGAAAAAAGTTTATGGAAATGATAATCTTGTGGTGGTGGTAGAGAGTTGGGATGGAGAAGAACAGCAATCAGAGAAAGTTGGAATATTTGTACCCGATACATACAGCTTCAAAGCTGATCCACACGTGACCTTTCTCAGACAAGTTATCATATACTTAGGATGATTGTATTTGAAATGTATTGTAATGTTTTATTTCTCGTGTTCAGTAGCCCCATCTTTGCTCCTTGACGGTACTGTATGCTAACAAAACTGCTTTTCTCTGTATGTTTAGACACTATGCCGATCATTCATTGCGGCTCTTAGGATACAACAACCTTGCTTGTATTGTTCTGAGATGGTGGAGTTCGCAGAGCACGATGCTCACTACTGGAGCACGGTTGATGGCCCAAAGCACTCCAAAATGTGTTCGGCCGCCGAATTAATTCCCGGTAAACCCAATAATCACGTTAGGTTGTGTTGCATTTCATACAGTGCAGTTTACTATCGAGTATTTTCAGCCCCCTTCGCCATGATAAACGCGACATACAAGGGGGAGCTTGTGATTATAATGCTTGTGAGTTTTTTTGCTGTCATATTGATAATGCTTACTTCATATCCCTCATCATTTTTTTTAATGCTGGAAAGTACTGTCATCACGGTCGGGAAAAGCATCACAATAAACATTCTGCACGGCTTTTACGATTGTTTGCATTCAAAATTATTTTTGGTTCGATGCTTATCAGCATCAGCATCAGCTGCAGTATTTAAATCATCTGGACGGCCTCATCGTGGGCAGAGCATTCATCCCTCAAACCACGCTTCTGCCAAACATACTTCCGCTTAACGCTTTTTTACATCTTAACCAACCTATCACCTTCTCGATATTCACGTGTTATTATTCTATCATGTCCAACAATCAATCCACTAGCAAAACATCCAATCCTACTCATCTTGTAAACGCTGAAGAGGATTCTCACAATCTCTATCCACATAGTTCCAAAGACATCGTATTCTTAGAGAAGATTGGTTCGGGTGGCTTCGGTACAGTTCATAAAGCCGAATCCAAGACTCTTGGAAAGGTATGTGCAGTCAAAGTGATTAAAAAAGCAAATCTAAGTGAAGAGGATCAGAAATTTATAGATACTGAACTTGATATATTAATTGATTTAGATCATCCGCACATTTGTAGAGCTTTAGGTTATTGGGAGGATTCTCTAACTTCTAACATCATCTTCGACTTCGAATCCGGAGGAGATCTTGCCCATTTACTCAAAAACTCTATTATCACCGAGAATCAAGTAAAAAGATTTATATCCGATCTAGGTAGCGCTTTAGATTACATTCACGGGAAGAACATTATTCATCGCGACGTTAAATTAGAAAATATACTCTTGACAGAAAACAACGTGATCAAACTTACAGATTTTGGACTCGCTGCCAGAGGTTATTATGGATTAGCTTTTGGTGACTATGGTACTCCACATACCAAAGCACCCGAAGTTCTCACTCAATACTCGTACACCAACGCTGTAGACTGGTGGGCAGTGGGAGTCATTTTGTACCAATTGACCTTGAACAAAGACCCATTTGAAGCAAGTAAGTTGTTCTCCTTTCTATAAATCTTATCCTTTCTGATAGTTTGATTACTTATTGACTTTATCTATTTTTCTTCCTTTTGATCCTTTAGCTGATGATAAAACTTTGGAAGAAAATATTGTCAATTCTAGAGTAAAAATTCCTTTGTCTATTCCTTATCCATGTTATTCCCTGATTGGTAAACTATTACAAAAGAATCCAGAGTTGAGGTTAACTTCTTACCGGGCTTTGACTTCACATAAATATCTCGAGGGTGTCTAGTTTGATTTTCTTGATAATCTCATTAATCAATTGTCTAGATAACTGTAAATATTTCTCATCATAATCCTGGTTGAACTGTGTCCAATTTTATAGACGATGTTATTTCAGTATCCTCTTTTTACTTTAATCAGGATCTCTTGTGTTTTATTACCCGGAGATCGTTATGTCACTAGCTTCCTCTCTTTCTTTGACAAAAATGCTGAAAGTCTTCTTCGAAAGATCTCATCTTAAGTTTTATCCTTATGGACCCATAGCCTCAAGGTGGTCGGCGGAAATCTGATTGGTTGTGACTTTGGGATAGAGATACTTGAAGGCGGCACATCCAAAGGATGTAAGTCGTTTGAACCATCGGGCGCAGTAACATATATCTGCCCTTATTCACCTTGCTGGGTTCAGAGTGAGTATTTTCTCAAACCGATCATGATTACCTTTGATATTTAATCTTAGCTGTTTTGAGGGCATTTAATGATCTCAGATAATCAGTGGACTCTGTTAACGCAATGTCAGTTCCAACATTTGCCGGACAAAAGCTATAGTGAACTAAATTGCGCTGAATACACTCGCCAAGCGTCCAGGGTCTATATCGTAACTCTCAAGTTTTCCAGCCCTCATAAAATCATTGATTTGAGGTTTATTCTTGGACACTCATGAATAGGTGATATTTAGCTTGTAAAATCCAGGACATGTACCTTTTAACGTGTTACTCTTATACTTGCCCTTCCAATGCCATCAGTTGGTCCTTGAAGTTATAGAGTCTTTACCAACTTTTGGGGACACCTACTGTACAAATTTTGCATATGTACCTGATTAAAAAAAGTTCACCATAGGTTTGTCACATTCTTGTCAAACACATTGTGGTATTCTATTAGTTGAGTGCAGTGGAATTCCTTTATAAGTATAGCAATGGTTGGGCGAAATCTTATGGTTACATAAAATATGCATCTTATCAAATAGGAGCATAATTCCCAATCAAGGAAAATGCTATGCTTAAGGAAAAAAATAGCGCTTGACCATTTTTTTTCAAATGGGAGGTGCTTGATACAAGGCAAGAAAGGTCACAGAAGCAATATTTGTAACCTAAAGGGTCTTGTGTAAAAAGACGCAGAGATTTTGGAGCATGTATTGTGGGACAAGAGTAAAAATAGAAAGTGATGTAGGGTCTTGATTTTTTCTTGTAGAATTGGAGTGGCTCA